GGTGTCCTTAGACTCCTCAGCTTGCATTCTCAGAGCATAATCCATGCTTCATACCATGCTTTTAGATTCTGCTTCCAGTGAATTCTGAAACAGAACTGAACCATTTTAGTCAGTTAAAAAAAAAAAAAAGGCTTTCCTGAATTTGTCATGTCAGATCTTTATGGCAGCTGTCACTCTTCACAAGTACTTGTTTCAAATTCTAATGAAAACACCATTCAGGAAGAGATTTTAATTGGATCAAGTCAGACAATCGATATTTTAAAAAAGCATTCATACTTTTAAGTGCTTTCAAAATAAGTAGCTCCTTGGCAGAATGTAAGATACAAGCACACGTTTGTATGCCTGCATGCTTGGATGCTCATCATGCCAATGTGTGGTGTGTATATTTTCTCCCAAATGGGGGGATTGTATGACTGACCACTCACCTGAGCAGCCAATTTTTAATAATCCAATGTGCTCTTATTCCTTTTCTCATAGAGACAGGAATAAAAGTAGCTCAGGTTCTCCTGTATGTCTCATCTTTCTGGACTTATTTCTGCACATGACTGCAGAGATTTTACAAAATTTACTCCATTGAAGATTACTTTGATTTGGAAAATCCTATGCTAGTTGAATATAACATGAGTGATACATCAAAGATAACAGAATAATCTCTTATCACAATAAAATGCCAATATGTCATAAAGATTCAAATTGGACTAGATTAATGCTTTTATAAAAAATAGATTATGTAATTACCTTGACAGTTATATTTCTAACAAACCTTAGTAATTCTTATATCATATGATTTTCATTAATATTGAAAATAGTCATTAAAGCTATGGTAAAATATATTTCCCATTTTTCTTGCTTATCACTGCTACCTTGTAAAAATGTGTATATATCTATTAAAAGACACTGAAGCATACATGTGCAAGTTCTTATATAAAGCACACATATGCACACATACACACCAATCTAATACATCAAAATAAGAGTTGTGTATTCTATAACTGTTTCAGATAAGTGGTTAATGAGACAATTACACTGGCCTCATTCACCTAAAAACCCTCTTTCAATATATATTACAAACTTCTTATTCTTGGAAATAAATTTAGCAAGCCACAAAAAACCAACTTCTAAAGTACCAAAAGAAGACACAATTAGTTTGTACTTGATCTAATACCTTCATTATGTCCATACAAATTGTTAGCTGAAGCCCATACCTCCTTACTGTAAGCTGTGAAAGACAAGAATAAACTTTCTACGTCATACACTTATTTCAAAGTATGTAATTGAAATATCAAAATGTGGAAAATATACAGCTAAGGTATCATCCTTACTGACATTTTTCTTAATAATAGCATTGTTAGCATTATGGGATGGATGCTTCAAAATAAACTTTTGGGACTTCACATTTTAAGTACTTTACATGAAGAAACTTAAGAGACTTTTTTTTTTTACTGCCTTTCATGTTTCAACAATGGCCCTGCTTTAAAATGTGAAAGACAAACTAGAACTGCTTTCCATTTTCCTTCATTCACATAGGCTGACTTTGTAAATATATATATTTCTATCAGTTGAGAAAGTAAACCTTAGAAGAACCCGGCAGTCCACAGCTTGTTCTTTACACTACCTAGGGGTGAGACGGTATAAAGAATGATGTGTATGCAGTCATCCTTCCTGTGATATGATTAATGAGAAGAATTGCATAAGGTATCACAAGCTGTTTTGGAAAAATAAACCAGTTGCCTCTGGTTTTAGTAATATCTTCCTAAGTTTTAGGTGAAACCCATTAGCTTTCAGTTAAGTTTGTTTAGTACTTCTGAGGACAGGAAAATTGGATGACTGTTCAGCCAAGTCCACTGATTGACTCAGGATGGTGACATATATGTGTATGCCTCTCATACTTATTCCATTAATCATATTAATCACTCACAACTATCTTCTGAATTCCTCTTTAATAGATGTGAGAATTTTTTACGGCCTATGCAATTAAAATATTCTCTCCCAATTTATTAGTCTGATATTTGCATATGAATTGTTCAAAACTAACCCTTGTTTGACACACAGGGGAAAGTACTGAATTTGAAGATGATGTTCTCTGAGTGGCTGCTCACAGTTCCCTATTAATCAGACTAAGTGGATATTTCAACTATGTTTAGTTTATGACACTAAATGTATCACAATTTGTTTGAAAGGATATTCCATTGAATAGCCTCTTTTTTCAAGGCATTGCCATACAAATTTAACAGTCACTATAATGTGTTCTGGTAGAACACTTACGTCTTTATTTGATAGAGTTTTTATTAAGTTTTTATCACAAAAATCTTACTATAAATATACAAATAGTTGTTTAGCATCTATGCAGATGTCATTATGATTTATATAGACATGGTAGGCTCAAAGAGAGAATACTGTAACATCTGAAATATCATTTCCTGACTGTTTCCTAGAGAAACTTTCTCTCAACAGCAGAACATTTTGTGACAAAGAGGACGTGTTGAGGACTTCCCAAGTGAATTCTCAGAATTTTCTTTTCCCAATTAAAAAAAATCCATCTATTACTTCAATATCTGAATATAGTATCCAAAGAAGGAGTGATGACTGCATCTTAAGTTTCTGAATAAAGTGGTGATTGTTAAAGTTTAACTTTCTTAACTTTTTTTTGAAACTTAAGTTTTCTGAAAACACTCATTAAAGTCTGTATTTAGGACTGTGGAAAACCTGGTATATGTTACCAAAGAAGAAATAATGTTTCCTAATTGTTATAAGTAGCATTAGAAAGAGCACCATCTTTAAACACTCATTAAAATTCACTTTTGAAAATTAGATAATATGAGATATGACCAATGAAGGCAGTGTTGTAAATGATACATAGCCAACCATCTTCCAAGTTCCAGGACAAAGAGAGTTTGATCCTCCTGGTACCTGCCACTTGACTCAACTGTATGATTGCAACATTGCATAAGCTACTTGATCAATGTTTTAACAGTCAATCCTGCATGTTCCGTTTCATAGGTATATAGTCCTCTGTTTAGCAAATATGGTATTTACAATTTTATGAGGCAAAAGATCTTTTCTTTCACACCATAGTAATGTCTAGGATTTTTGAAGGAAAATATCTGTAATTTAACATCTCTGGGAACAATTTAAGATACCTGTTTTCTAGCCTTTCTTTGAAAGTCTGTCTTCCTTCCTGGTGAATACTGAATCACCATTCTAATCCCGAGAAAATAAATGAATAGACCTGGATTTTCAATTATCTTTCTTGTTATCAACCTTTCAGGGAATCACAAAATATTAGGAATACCCAGAATAAGATGAAACTGCATTCTGTTCATTCACCTCTAATGTACCAATGTGGGCTTGCAAGAAAAACATCAAGCCTTGTTAGACTTTCATAGAAAGCTTTTATTCTCTTTCAGTTTTAAGGGCAATTGCTTATACAGGTTTTTTGGGGGAATTTATTATTTGGGATTATGTCTTTTATCTTGAAAGGTACACAAACAAGAAAAAAAGTGAGAAAGAGAAAACAAACTCAGCAAAGAACACTTCCAAGAGTCCAAACTGTACTAAATTTGAGATTATTTCAAATTCACCGAAGCATCTGAAAACACTCATTAAAGTCTGTATTTAGGACTGTGGAAAACCTGGTATATGTTACCAAAGAACAAATTATGTTTCCTAACTGTTATAAGTAGCATTAGAAAGAAAGCCATCTTTAAACACTCATTAAAATTCACTTTTGAAAATTAGATAATATGAGATATGAAAAGAGCCAATTGCTAGAACAAACTTTTGTTAGCTAAAGTATTCTGGCAGCAAAACCTGGTAGTTGGATGTTGCACAGTATGATGTTACCAAGGAAAGAACAACATACATCCAATATAATTCAATCACAAAATAGAAGTAGGAGACCATTGTTCTATTCATGTAAAGTTTTCTAGTAAGAGATCTTTTAAATTAAATACTCAGAAACTGAACAAAACTTATTCTCATATAAATGAAAAGAATCCAACATAAAATCCAGATACCCCTTTGAGAATTCTATGCAAATGAGGAAGACCCCAGCAAAAGTCATACCTTTTATTTATGAATATATGTATCACTTAGTTCTGAGTCAAATTGACAAGAGTTCATGTCATTTCTGTTGAGGATGGCAAAGGTGACAAGCACTCTCTCTGATGCTTATCATTATGTTACTGCCAAGTCATCCACTAGAAGTTGGCCTTCTATTAGTTACCAGAGGATCAGACAAAATATGGAAATTCAGTTTCCTTCTAATAAAACACAAATAGCTATCACTTAAGGAACCTTTGGAAAGTCATCCATGTCCCAGTAATTAAAAACAAAAGGAAAGAAATGACAATAGAAAGAAAGCATCCTTAGACGATTATACAATTCTACACAGTTCTACAGTAGGCCTTCCATATTCTCTACGCTGGTATAATAAAGAACGAAACACATGTGACATAGCTGTGACTTCCTGCTTGCATGCTTTAATTCAAACTAAAAGTTAACAGCAAAAAATTCAAACCTTGGGTCAAATGTTCTTTGGTTTAAATCTTTACTACCTCCTATAATTTTGGTTAGCTTACTTGAATTTTAAATTACACTGGCCCTTCCATCTTCACCCCGTTACAAAAGTCAATCACCAAGAAAGAGACATAAATTTCAGAATGATTTTGTGAGAATTCATGTTTCTCAGTCGAACCCCTTTATACAAAATGTTTTAGAAAAAAAAAGTAGGAAAAAAAAAAAAACAGGTGTTTTAACATAGTATTTTATTACAACTTAATCCCATCCTTGAATGATTTTCTTTCAAGTTTCAACCATTTTTTTTAAGTAGTCAGTTTCCTGGTGGTTGCAATTTAATTAAGTAACCTTTCACACTGAGCAAAACCCCAAAGCAAAAGGGTCGTTAATCTTTCTAGTGATTAGACAAACCGCTAGAGCCTCAAGCATTTACCTCTCCTTCCCCGCAGAAGAAATGGTTTTAGGAGGATCACGGTTCATACCTCACACTCCCTGGAGCCAGAGATGGTATATGTGCAGGGACCAGATCCATTAACCGATATATCCATGGTCTCAGAGTTCGTCGGCTTGTAGTCCACGTAGTATTCCTGTAAAGGGGAATTCATTTGTCTCTCTGACTCCCTTGCCTTTTTCCGCCTCCTCTTCATAAGCGAGTGCTGTTGGAGTTGTTTCATGCTGGCTGGGTACCTTTTCCAAGATACATAGATCACCAGGAGAATCATGGCCACCGAGAGGAACAGAGCCACGCTCCCCGCGATGATTTTGTGAAATGACACATGCTCGTACTCATGATCCGTGCCTGGAATCGGAAAGCCCGGGGATGGACTCGCTGACTCTAGGGTGGCTGGGATGGCATCAGGTTTGAAGATGGTAGGCCTGGGAATGAACGGGGGCTTCTGGGGAGTTTGAGGCGCCAGGGGTGATCTTTCTGTGTTGACCACCTGGACCTCGGAGCAGATGTTGTAAGTCTCCACAGCATCGCTGACCTTCTCGCCCTGTATGTGCTTAGGCCCTGCACATATCATGGTACTTTCTTTATTACCTTTGAAATTCTTCAGCCAGTAGAACAGAGGACAGATGCTCCGACTGCATTCCCACATATTTCCAGACAAGGTGATGGATATTAAGGATATCCATGCATTCACGGTCTCCTGGGAGACGTTGGTGAGCTTGTTGGAATCCAAATTCAATTTTTGCAAATTAGGGAGGCATTTAAATGTGCCAGGCTCGATTGCTTGGATGTCATTCCCTGATAGATCCAAGGTGTGCAAGGAACTCCAGGTCCATGTTAGGCCTTGGCTCACAGAGCGGATCCGGTTCCACTGCAAGTAAATGGATCGCAGGTTGAAGAGACGAGGAAAATGAGCAAAATTGATCTTTGAAAACTGATTGTGTTCCAGATGGAGCTCCTTCAACTTCAGAAGACCAGCAAATGCATTTCGGGATAAGCTTCTGAGACGATTGTAACCCAAATCCAGGAAATCAAGGTTCCGGCAGTCTTGAAAAACCCTTATGGGCACGGTTTTTAGGGAATTAGATCGCAAGTGCAAAATGATGAGTTTCCGGAGGCCTTTAAACTGCTCAGATTGCAAGGTCTGAAGTTTGTTGTAGGAGAGATCCAGGTTGCGGAGATTGGGGACTGGGTGAAATGTTTTATTGTGCAGATAGGTAATTTTGTTCGAGCTTAGAATTAATTCTTTCAGTCTGCGGATCCCTTGAAAGGCATCTTCATCCACTGAGCTAATGTAATTATGGTCAAGATAAAGCCATATAAGCTGGTTAAGGCCGGCAAACTGATTGGATTTGAGTTTCTGAATGCTGTTGAACCTTAAGGATAAACCTTGTGACCCTCCAGAAATGTTCTCTGGGATGTCTGCAAAGGCATGAGACTCACAGTACACAATTTTGCCATCGCATCTGCAATTCTTCGGGCAAGCTCTCTGAGCCCCCGTCAGCATAACCAGCAGCAGGGTGGGAAATAGCACCAGAAACACACTCATGCCTTTCAGCTGCGGGATTAGACGGAAACCTACAATAGCAAAGAGAACATAGATGCACACTGTCAAAGAGTAACAATTCAGCAAACTGACTCGTCGGGAACGGCAGTGTACGGTCTAGAGTAAGAATGATGATAGTTCATTTAAGAACACATTTCAACACTTAAAAATCTTCTTTCCCCTTAGTGCTCCAAGCTTGCTGTTTAGAATTTAGTCTATCTTCCTTCATCTTTATAACATCACAGAGCTGTTAAACTGTGAAAAATCTCTCCGAGTTTCAAGAGTTCTCTATCCCAACCCCGAAAAGCCCAGGGCATTTCTTTTTCCTGAATGCTGACATTTGAATAACAATAGCATTTGGCTGTCACTGTATCGACCCAAGGGACTATATTGCATCTTTCAGTAAGGTCAGAACTATGACTTAGGAAACCTGGTTCCTCTACCTTGTTTGTAGTTGAGCAAATAGGCTGTGATTTAGCAAAAGAGCTTCTGGGATGCTGTCAAAGTAGTCCAAGTTTGTTCTGTCTGAATTATATACTGGCTGCATACAGGGGTTGCAATATCTGAACCCTGAAAAATGGCACAGGAATATGCGAAGGCAGCCCACAGTAACAGCGTGAGATGCCCTCAGTTAGCTAATAAACATACATTATTGCATATCTTGGCCCCATGCCCAGAGATGCATGAGCTAAGATAGGTGATCATCCATACCATAACCACCAGTTCTAGCTAAGATGTTAAATTCGTATTCAAATTGTGCAGAATATTAACTAATCATGTTATTAGACAGATTGCTGAATTTTTTTACCCATATAGTCGCCCTTGCAAATTTGAAAAATAAGTAAGGAAGACCGACACGAACATCCCCAGCAGCCTGACCTGCTCAAGTCTCTCACTGACTGTTTTTTTTTTTCATCTCTCCCCTGCCTCCATTAACTTCAGAAAGCCTGCAAAGTTGCAATCTATTAGCATTTATGCCGCATTTTCAAATCATTGCATGTGAGGGGACTCCTCTCCACCTTCAACAGTAGGTAAAATATTTCTTAACTGGGAAAAGAGAGACAGACAGAAAGGGGGGAACCTACTGCAGGCTGCAATTTCTTTTCTTCTTTAATAGTCATCTTTTAAACCAAAAGACAGTCAGCCAAAATCCTAATCTACAAATTCTGCCTCTCTAGAAGAGTTGTCCTTTTCTTTCTTTTTCCTCTTCTTTTATCTATCTATCTATCTATCTATCTATTTATTTATTTATTTTAAATTAACTTGATTTGCACTCTGTCTTCTTGTCAGCTACAGACTCATTGAAATACAACCCAGCTCTCCCAGACAGGAGAAACAGGGAGGGAAAAAAAAAAAAGCCAGTCACACTTGAAAAAATAAAACTGGCAAATGACTCCTGGAAATTTGGAGTCTGTATTCAGGATGCAGATTCCAAGATCAAACGAGCCTCTGGTGCCACCTCTGATAAAGTACGGACCCCACCCCTGCACACACACACAGCCAAGTGTTAATGGTCTTCCTGACAGCAACCCGAACACAAGCGTGGCTCATATTATCAAGAAACAGAAGCAAACACAGTATTTATTTCATGCTCCGTTCTCAAGCTCTGGGTATGCAGACGCTAGAGACAGTCTTAAAGCTATCTCTCCAGAGTGTGTTTAAGTCCGAGTTATGAATTTATGGATTAAAAAAAAACAAGAGAAAAGGTTCTAAAAATATAACAGCAACTATAGTGAGACAACTGGTAAAGTAGAGGTTGCTGCTTTTGTGCCTGTTTCCCGGTCCTTCCGCAGTTAATGCCCGGTTGAGGATGAGTGGTTAGGATCAGCTTTACTAAAACGAAAACAACAAAAGTTCGCTTACCCATCCTTTGTCATCCAAAAAACGTCTGCCCCCCTCTCTCAGCTTTCTTCTTATTTGGTCTCTCCGGTAGAAATCACCACCACCTTCATGACACAGTGCAGCTGTCATTCAAACCATTCTGAGCCCGCATGTGAGCCAGTAGCCCCATGTAAACTTCCCCGGAGAGGACAGGCAGACACACACACGCAAATAATATAGATATACGTATACTTAAAAAAAATCAGCAGGGGTGGGATGAAGGGGCAGGAAAGAGGAAGCCGCTCGGGTGGGGGGTCGGAGGGGGGAGGGCCTCTAGGCTCTGAGGACCATTGTATAATTCACTAGGGACACATTAGCAGTAAATTGGCAATCTGTGAAAAGAGCTACAGCCCATCTCGGAGGTAACCAACTTCTCTGTGGAAAGAGAGAGAGAAAGACAGAAACGGGAGAAGAGGGGAAAGAAAAGAAGAAAAAAAAAGAAAGAAAGAAAATCCTCAGAGTACCTGGCATTCCTTATTGTGCTGGCTTTTGCCATTCCCAGATAAAGCAATTCATCCTCAGGATTTTTCAGTTGTTGAAGCAAGCAGGCCGCCTGTGCTGTGTGAGACCCCAGTTTAAAAGCTATGCGGGCTAGGTTTATCCATTTAGCTGGTCAGGTTGAAAGTGTTTTGTAGCTGTGCTGAGAGGCAGCCCTTGTCTAATTCAGAAGGCTTTCCGGAGACTGATGGTGCTCAGAGCTGGTTGGTGCTAATGCTCGAGTTTGTGATACACTGAGTGCCCTCCGCTGGAGAAAACAGATTGCACATTAAAGACGGGAACAAGTGAGCTTGTCAGGGCTGTGCAGCCTTCTCTGCTCAGAAAGGGAAGTTAAAGGCACAGGATCGCTTTGCCCCCTCCCTCTCCAGTGATATAAATTAGGAACGGTGTACGTCAGGGTTTATGCTTCACAGCTGCAGCAGATGTTAGCCACTTTCTAGGTCTCTCTCCTTCCCAATGTGTGTGATTAATACGTTGGAAAGTTTTTATGGCCTGAAATGGTTTTCTGTGTGTCACCAATGATATTGTCTCATTTTCAAAGTCATAATTCATGTGAATTTATGATTATTGTTTACTTACCTTTATTTATATTTTTTAAGATAGTGAAATAAGCAAGCTGTCCCGCCTACGAGAAAGCACACCATGGTTGATTTGTAAAAGTACTTCATTGTGAAAATTTTAAGTCTCATCACTCCATTCTCAGCATTTGCCAATAACATCTATTCTGTCTGTAACTATGTATATTTATCAAGAGATTTATGATATGGCTCTGCAAAACATCACATATATAGCCATAAATTTTTCTCAGCTATACTATTTTACCAAGTGTCTGGGTAACCAATACTGAACTTCAGACAAGATCTGAATTAAAGCTTGCCAACTTTATTACAGTCATTTTCGTTAAAATGCATGCACTCTGGGGATGAACTTTTCCTTATGCTAATTATCCATTGAGTTGTGCAATCCCTGTTGAAAGAAAGAAGCACTCCAGCCTCATAGTGTCACAGTCTTAACTTCAGACTATCCTGAAATTAAGACTGATGAAATCATAAAATGTTTGAGGTGAGGAATTTTTCAAAACCTATACACTTTATCACAAACTTGTATGGAAGGCTTAAAAATGACAATAATACATTACCTCCACTTCAGAATTAATTTATGTGCATGGGAATTTTGCCGGTATGTATGTCTGTGCATCACTTGTGTGCTTGGTGCCTTCAGAAGCCAGAAGAGGGCATGAGATCCACTGGAACTGCAGTGATGGAAAGTCAAATCTCCCTATAAGTGCTGGTAATGGAACTGGGTCTTCTCCAAGACGGGTGCATGATTTTAACCACTCAGCCATCTCTCTGGCCCCATACCTCCATTGTTGTGTTCCCCACTTTTAGGTATTTCATAATTACTTGACAAATAATAATCCAAAAATATGGAGAATAACCTAAGAAAATAAATGCAATGCACTGCAGAGACTGCTAGATAGAACTGCACATCTAATTTATCAGCTTTGAGAACTTCAAAGGGATTCTACATAAACTGGTGTGTATCCTGGCAAATGGATGGTTTTAGAAATACTTCGCTTTTAGATTACTTGGTCAAATAGTATTTATTAAAATGGAATAAAGAGATAACTAACACCCATAATTTGACTCAGATTTATGAGCAGAAGGTCACAGACATTTGTCTAATTATTAAGATTTCTCTGAGAACAAAAAATGGATCATCTGCCCCTTACATACACCCCTCCAATTAACTGATACCTGAGTTTCTGCTTTAGAAAAATGTGCTATTGGATTAAGGCTTAATACCTGTTAAAATGCAGAGGCAATGTTATTTTGGGTACTGATCAATCAATGAAAGTGATACACATACAGTATCTTCAAACTATTGTAGTTCACATGGAGATAGAAAACCCAACCACATATTCAGTGGTAGAATACTGACTAGGGGGAAATTGTTGATTCAAAAAATAAAAAGGGCACCCTACTGATGGGACATGTCCCTCTGTATATTTGTTTGTCTTATTGGTTGATGAATAAAACACTGTTTGGCTAGTGGCCAGGCAGGAAGGATAGGTGGGGCTACCAGATGAGGAGAATTTGGGAAGTATATGTGGAGAGGACATGTGAGCCCAGGAAGGGAGGACATGAGTCAGGCATTTTCTGGTAAGATAAGACCATGTAGAAATACATAGATTAGTAGTTATGGCTTAATAATTAAGACAGAGCTAGCCAATAAGAAGCCCTAGCCACCAGCCAACAGTTTCAAATTATTATGTCTTGTATATTTATTTGGGGATGATAAGGCTATGGGACAAGGCTGGCAGGAAGAACAGTCCGTAACACCCTACCAGTAAATTTAAAAGAAAGTTTTTAATTGGCTGACTGGATATTATGTATAAAGTAGGGCAGAAAGGATCAGAGAACTCAAGTACTAAAAGAAAACGAAAAGCAGTAAGTTTGTTTCCAAGAATATTTTCATTTGTGTGGGGGAAAATTAAAATGTTCAGAGCAGATTTCTGATGGAAGATTGAACTAGGGTGTATTTGATTTCATCTGCTGTGATATTTTGTCTGTATTTTCTAGTGTCTCATCTCATGAATATGGAGTCAGGCATGATGTTTATCTAGCCACATATGTATAAGTGTTCTTTTGTTTGAATCCACAACATAAGTATAACTTTCGAGAGTTGATTAGAAAAAAAAACAATTTTGTATGATAATTAGCACTAATTTGATGAAAGTATGAAGATCTGTGCCTGGAGAGGCGGCTTAGTGGTTAAAGGTGCTTTCTGTTCTTGCATGGGACCTGAGTTCATTTCCTGGTTCAAATATCAGGAAGTTCAACTCCCTTCTATCCCAACCCCCTCAACTAATTTCAGTTGCAAGGGAATGCAGAGCCTCTGGCCTCCATATATTTTCATGTGCACTTCCATTCATATACACATACCTAAAAGTAAAATATATCTCTTTTTAAGTATTGAGATCTAATAAACACTGGCTGGGTATGGAGCATATAGACTTGGGGGCACCACAACACTCAAGGCTAAGTGAAGAGTCCAGGCAACACTGGCCTATGAGCAAAAAGATTTTCACCGTAAAATCAAAGTTAATTCCCCCTTAAAACCTAATAGATACTGCATTCCAAAGTTGGTGCCATATTCTATTTTTATTTCATAAAAAATGTACTCAAAATGTAGAGAGGCAACAAACACATTATCCCGATGCAGAGAGATACAGAGTGGGATGAAAGATACTGTAAGGAAGATTTGTTTGAGAAAAGCCTACCTAGCATTTCCTTCTCCCTTGCATGAATATGTACACACACACACACACACACACACACACACACACTTGCTTCACTCAAGAAAAAATGTTGGTTTATCACTTCCTTAGATCACTGTGGGCTCTTTGTTATATGGCCCACAATGAGCCCACTGTGGGAATCATATCTTATTCTTGCTGAGAAAACCATGGGAGGATTAATGGGCTTCTTGGAGCAAAGGAGAGCTAGGTGATATTGGATATATCTTCCATGTTCAGCACTTGTCTGGATAAAAACATGAATATGAGCCTTCTGTGAAAGAGAATATGGCTAAGTATAAAGTCAGCTTGAGGCCATCTCACACCCTGATGAGTCACTCAAGATGAGACTCTCACTGTTTACATGGCTGAAACAACAAAAAAATAAATGAAGACTAACAGAAGTCAACAAAGTATGGATAAACATCAGAAAAATACAAAGGAGAGGAGAGATTACATTCTTTATACATTAATGGCAGAGAGGTTGTTTAGCAACTACTAACTAGTACAACTAAGAAGAACTTTTCACTGTCTCCAGAGCTCAGAGTTCACAAGATTTTACCAGAGTTTAAGTGATTCCATTATCATGGGAAGGTCAAAACAACAGTTGTAAGAGTGGAAGAATAAATCAAGATAAGAAAACTAAAGACATATTATCTTGTTCTCAAGTAGATTCCTGTCTGGCATTGATGCTCAGTGAAGAAAAAGGGAGGAAAATGCTTTTTTTCTTTATAATATTCTGTCCAAGGCAATTCTCTATCCAATATGGCCTCAGGAAGACAAAAATTAGAAGCCTCTGACATAAAATGTGACCTGACTCACAAATCTGTCCTAATACACTTCCTTCCTAATGGAACTTCATGATCAGCCAGTTGAATTCTTTTGTTGTTACCCCCAAGAACATTTAGTAAGTGCTACTTGGAATTTGAAACTTTCCATGATTGATATACTCACAACACAGACATCTCCAAAGCCTGTAATTCAATGTCTGGTGTGTGTGTGTGTGTGTGTGTGTGTGTGTGTGTGTGTGTACCTGAGAAAACAATTAGAAGAGGATGGAATTGGAAAAAAAATATCCTTTTTGAGGTAACCGAATCACAGAAAGACAAGCAGGGTATGTACTCACTCATACATATATGGATATTAGACATAGAGCAAAGGACTATTAGCCTACAATCCACAACATTAGAGAAACTAGGAAACATGGAGGAACCCAATAGAAGAATGCATGGTTTCTCAAAGAAGGGGAGGGGCACAAGAGGCCCTGAGCAAACTGGGAGCATGGGGGAAGAGA